GCTGGAAAGACAGTGACTGAGCAGAGCATGGGGATGAGATGAGGAACAAGCGAGAAATTAGGCTGAAAAATGAGTGCTCGAAAGAGAGAAAGAATGAGGAACCAAAAGTGAAGTAGGAAGGTTCTGATGCCAAAATAACTATTCGGAGGGAATTGTTTTTTTAAAAACGCATCTGTGTTACAATTATTGACAGAGGACATCTGTAGTTTCATGCACTGAATTGTAAATGAGATTGGGATCTAGTTTTTTACTGATGAGATGTATTCCTCGTTTCCTCGTTCCTTGCTCCCCGAGTGAATTGTGACAAATACTTCTGAAATTCTCTCAAAAAACTTAGTCCATTTTTAGAGCTGCCATGATTAATCATTTTGATTCTCCATTTCACGACCCCTTTAAGCAGTTTACTTAATTGGTATATTTTATCAAAGTGTCTTATATTATTTCTTTATTTTTTTTCTCTGTATGTTTCCTTAAATAGAACTTAGTTAAATTTACTAAAATATTAGAACAATACAAAGTTTAGATAAATAAAAGAGATGGGAATTGAGAGGAATAAATACTTAAATCTATAATCATTAGAATTGTATATATATCTAAAAATTCATATTGGTTTTCGAGAAACAGATTTTTAACCCCCCCCCCAATCTTACTATACACTGTAACCCTTTAGGCACCAGGGATTATTGTGACAAATACTTCTGAAATTCTCTCAAAAAACTTAGTCCATTTTTAGAGCTGCCATGATTAATCATTTTGATTCTCCATTTCACGACCCCTTTAAGCAGTTTACTTAATTGGTATATTTTATCAAAGTGTCTTATATTATTTCTTTATTTTTTTTTCTCTGTATGTTTCCTTAAATAGAACTTAGTTAAATTTACTAAAATATTAGAACAATACAAAGTTTAGATAAATAAAAGAGATGGGAATTGAGAGGAATAAATACTTAAATCTATAATCATTAGAATTGTATATATATCTAAAAATTCATATTGGTTTTCGAGAAACAGATTTTTAACCCCCCCCCCAATCTTACTATACACTGTAACCCTTTAGGCACCAGGGATTAAAAAAAAATGCTGGATTTTGACATCAAGATTTCAAAAGCTTGTGGCTTGAAAGGGTTTAAAGATGGAGATCTACTGTAAATTAGAAAAATGCTGGGCATGACCAAAAGTTTGTGCGGTGTAAATATACTTGTCTAATTTGCATATGACATCATCCGGGGGCAGCCATCTTGAATTTCATAATATTCAGGAAATGGTAGATATTGAATTGAATTGATGTTTGAACTTATTTGCATGTGTTTTATTTTTTAATTTTTTTGTCTTTTTATCCTCGTTCAAAATGATCAAAAGTGGAAACCAACAATAAAACAGGAGAAAGTACTAAATTATTACTATATAGTAGTAAAACGCATGTGAACAGTAGCCTACTTTTTTGCACGTGTGTGTGTGTTTTTTTTTTTTTTTTGTCTTTTTATCCTCATTCCAAATGATCGGGAAAAGAGGAAATCCACAGTAAAACAGGAGAAAGTAGTAAATTATTACTGTGCCATAGTAAAATGCATGTGCCTACTTCTTTTTGATCCGTTGACCAGCTATCTGCCCAATCAGGCATCTAGGTGACAGTTTATAGTTCTTGAGAGTATGGTACCTCTTATTGCATGGCACAGTGCACAGACCTACCCCACACTGACTGCACCGTGTACCGCGGCCACTCCCACCTCTTTTGGGCACTGGATCCAGAGCTGCTCTGACTGGATCCAAAAAGCTAGTGCTACTTCCAGCCCTATTTCTCCTACCCCTGCTGCCTCTACCTCTAGCAACAGCTCTCCTATGGACACTACGACCACGTCCACCCCTGCCACCCCCATCCCCGTTGGGCAAAGGGTCGAAATGATCACTCGTTTGTGCTTCGTGAATACTCTCATCTTGCACGGTGGCACCATTGCGCTGCAAAGATGTAGCAGGAGAAGCACGATGATTGGACGACCAATCGTCATTTCCAAAAGGCAAATATTCCCCTTCAGAGTCAGAATCGGCGAATAACACTTGCAACACATCCTCACGGTACAACTTTTTACTAGCCATTTGGCGATTTTTCTCTCACAATTTACTCGCATGCTATGAACTGAACTGCTTCTGCATCAATGACACGATAGCTCAGTTGCTCTGCTATTTCCTCAAAAACTTTTAATAGGAATGTGACGTAATTTTGGTCTAGAATCGAAGTACTACGTGTCTGCTATATACAGTAGTTGTAGGGAGTACAAATGAGATATTACACCATATTAGGAACTACAGTCTATTTTATTAAGTATGACGTCTTGTCGCAATTTTGCGACTTTGGCACTTAGAGGGTTATACACTATAAACATTGCACATTTTACTTTCCAAAAGATCATTTTAGAGGTAGTAATGGAGGCTTGAGCCATTGATAATGCCGTTATTAGACCGAGAGAGACAGATTAATTGTAGCTGTATGAAGTGTCTGTGAATTACATGAATCTGTGCATCTCTCAAAAGTTTTTGGCCACAGCATCTCTACTAACAGCGAAACTGTAATTTAACAGCTTCAAGAACAGAAACGTTATATTATACAGCTTTTCAGCTGCGAATCTGTTTTATTAACAGCGATGACAACAAGCTGAGAAAGAAAGCATACTTTCTGTTGATAATAAAATGTAATTAAGTAGGAAAACCTTGGAAATAGTTTGTCATTTTATTCTATTGTTTGTTATATTCCTTGGTTTCGTCAGAGTTTTTGGGTTTTGTTTCTTTAGCTGTTGTAGGCGGCACCTTTGAAATAACTCCACTTGGTGAAGTGATTTGGAACTAATGCTGTCAAGGTCTGTTTTGTACTAATTTATCTGTGCATTTCCTGAAAAATAATTGCACACCTTAGAACGTTCATCATCGACCAATCAGACTCAAGCATTCAACAGCCTTGTAGTATAATGAACTGTACTTTGTTTACAGTACATTGTATACTAAACACTGTGCACAATTTACTATAGTAGTACTACTTATTCATTTAGTGGCCTAATGGTGAGCGAGTCAGACTTGTAACCCAAGTCTGGGTCACAGGTCACATGTTCGAGTCTTGGTAACGGCAGTAATTGTAGGTGGGGGGAGTGAATGTACAGTGCTCTCTTTGTGTGTGTTAGTTTGTTCACTACTCACTGGTGTGTGTGTGTGTGTGTGCACTTGGATGGGTTAAATACAGAGTACAAATTCCAGGTATGGGGCACCATACTTGTCGTCATGTTCTTTCCTTTCTTTTTCCTATAGACTGTAAAATGCATACTCTTTGCTACGTTATACCAATTTATTAGAAGGTGATTCAGAGGGTCTGTTGTCTTTTTGAACATGTGGTTTGATGTGTGCACATGTGCATGCATCTAACGAATCCCAGTCCTAAGAGAAGGGGATTTTTGGATGAATCCACCCAGAAATCTAGAGCACCGAAATGCACAGAGAAGAAAAGAGAGGGAGAAAATGAGAGATCGAGAGAATCTTTGTTCAGAGGCAGAAACTTTGAGGGGATAATTAGTAAGAGTGAGCACTAAGGACTGGGGCCAAAGAGTGAAACTCTAAAGCTCCGAGCAGAGATTATCTAAACTAGAGCTGAACTTCTCCTGACTCTTCTAATCACTCCCCAAAGACGGCTAGTCACGTAGCATATCTCTCAGACTGCAGTAGCAGCTAACCCACCCAGCCCCAGTCACTTCAGACTCTAGTCTAGTCTGGTGCAGGCTCTAGATTAGCTCTGAGCAGAAGCCGTTTGGATGACCTTCAGCCACCAGTAATTTCATTATCCTCAGCACCAGCTCACTGATCCTCAGCCATCAGCCTAAGCTAATAACGTCTTCTCATCTCACTAAAACATAAGTAGAGGGTTGGTGAAGTGCTGATTTCATTTTCCTCCTCCAGTACATGAAAGAAAACTGTTACGATTAGCTGTCTCTTCCATTATCTGTTATGTGTGGGGTTGCTAGCACAGTATAATTTGTTCATTTACGTAAATGTTTTGGCTTCTTTACTATTTGTATTGATAGGAAGTGTATCGAGAGGACGGGAAATGTCTAATGTGGTGTCAAAACAACTTCAAGTTGTCAATTTGAAGCACACTTGAAGCGCCAAAGTCGCATGTCAACTCAGAATGTTGACAAGCCAATCAGCTCACAGCAGCACCTAAATGCACTTTATTTTAACAGCAATCCATCGACAATCTATTATTTTAGAACAGCTAAATAATTTTACACATAATCTTAGCAGTGTATATATGGAGCATCAGAACTTCCAGCATTTTCTAGTATTTTGGCTACATTAAAAGCACAAATCCAAAATTTGCTTCAGTTTAAAAAAAAAAATTAACAGTGTGCAATTGAGCAGTTTGTTTGTTTGCTTCTAATTGCATTGTGTACTACAGTATAATTGGAAATTTACAATTGGAAAATGTTGTTTTATGTTGTGTAGACACAATACAGTGCCACAAAACATTTGCACAACCCACAAGGTCACAACTCTGAATTGTTCACATTTTGACAGATAAATAAAAATTAATAAAAATTTAGAGATGACAGCAAAGAGATCTAACAGGTCAGTTTATATGAAAGGTTCTGTCTCAGCATATCTGGTTTTAAAGAATAAATATGTGGTGGTGTTGTAATACACTCGACCTGTTCCAGGAGTCACTGACTCAGCCCAAAACACAAGCGCTGTCTGAATTACATACCTAAAATATTCAAAATCCAGTCTGTTCACACACTCAGCAACATGATACACGGGGCACTGCAACATTACACGCCTCAGAAATCACTGCGAATTAGACGATTCATCCATTTTGACTGCAAAAATTGGTTTCTTGCTCAGCGTTTTATTTATTTATTTATTTTCTTCAAGTATTTATATTTATCTATATTTATTTAAACACCCTTAAAATTAGAAAAATACATTGCTAATGAGGCCTGAGATAATAAGGAAAGCATGCAATACCTTTATTTCTGCCTACATAGGGGTTGAGAAGGTTCCACAGAGACCACAGAGACAAACAGGAAGGGAGATGTCAACAAGAAGGACAGTGGGAAAGAGAGAGACAGGGACAGTAAATTGTAGGATGAGAGTTATTGTGCACACACACCCATTCAGGACAAATTTGCATGCACTTTAGGATAATATGATCATTGCATATGAGCACACTATAGTATCTGACTTGATTTTTCTTAGAATGCCTTGTACTACATGATCAATACTGATATAATAGCTTCTCCATCAATATCACTTGAATTGAGATGGGGAAACAAGCATATTAGTGTTTTTCAAACTAACAGATGCTCAGGGACAGAGTTTTTGGCACTATTTTGTATTTCTGTCTAGAAGATTCATATGTTGATTCATATATTCAGCTGAATCTTTCTCCATAAGGACTAACCTATTCTGTGTCCGGTTCAGAGGCTTTCATGTCAGGATATGAGCATTTGAATTAAGGACATATAATGGATTCACATCTGAATCGCTGTCCATCTCCACTGAGAACCCACTGAAGACATGCACCCAAATACAAGTGTACATTTCTGTGTCAGATGACCAGTAGGTGGGATTTGCTGTGAATAGGCTGCATTATTATTTTTTTTATTATTATTTTACAATGAGAGCAATTAGATACACTAGATCAGTGGTTCCCAACCCTGGTCCTGGAGGCACCCCAACACTGCATGTTTTGCATGTCTCCTTAATCAAACATACCTGATTCAGGTCATCAGCTTATTAGTAGAGACTCCAAGACCTGAAATTGGTGTGTCAGAGAAAGGAGACATGCAAAATGTGCAGTGTCTATCCCTTTTATGACAGTTATTTAAAAATATACTTTTAAGATTCAACATACACTAGATCAGTGGTTCCCAACCCTGGTCCTGGAGGCACCCCAACACTGCATGTTTTGCATGTCTCCTTAATCAAACATACCTGATTCAGGTCATCAGCTTATTAGTAGAGACTCCAAGACCTGAAATTGGTGTGTCAGAGAAAGGAGACATGCAAAATGTGCAGTGTTGGGGTGCCTCCAGGACCAGGGTTGGGAACCACTGCACTAGATAAACCAATTATAAAAAATGTAGCTATTTAACTTAACCAAGCATGAACATTAGGTTGTTTTAAACATCAAATCAAGATATATTGATATAATCTATCTATTACGGAAGCAATATACTTTTATTTAATAAACTAAAATTAATGACCAAAAACATAACATTTAGCTCAACATTTAGCATGCAACCCTGTTATTGCAATATTTTCCATTGGTCATTGCTTAAATTCATGACAGACATCAAGTGAAATCATTTGGACCATTTTGACAGTATGACAGGTAGGCAAGCACATAATCTCATTCCAAAATTCCTATTTTATTATGTTTCTACAAATTGTTTTGTTGACTACATTTGTCATGGTTGACTATTCAACTCTGTTACCAGAGCTATTGTAAGAAGTAAGTAACAAGTATTTTTCTAATAGGTTTATTAATGACTATAAACCAACATTTAGTTCCAAACTGGTGACAGCTTAATTTAGGTTACATTTGTTACCCTTTTAACCATTTTCTTCTCCACTACTGTCACCTGCTCAGTTGGGGTTTAAAAAGCACTTAATATTCAGTAATATTATCAGTTTGACTGCACTGACACTATTATCTTTTGTAAAACTGCTTTATATTTGAACTGAGTTTTCTTCATAACAGAACTTTTCAAAATGCACAATGTTATTGACCTAAACTGAATCAACATTGAACTAAACTCAGCTGGAAAATAACACTGTTGTTTTTTTAGAGCTGCTTTACAGCTGCAATTGTATTTTTCCACAACTGAAGAACTTTGCAACATTAATATTGCATCTGTATTGTATAAAGTGCTACGCAAATAAATGTGACACATGTGACTTTAGTGTTTTATTTTAATTACATTTTTTTGTAATTAAGTATTTTATGTTCATTGCAAATCATTTTGGAACATTAATTTTATTAAGATGGTTGCAAAATCGCAGCAAAAAATTAATTTATATAATTTTGTTTATAACATATTTTTTAAAAGTCGGACCTTCATATGTTGACAATGTTTTCTTAATTTTATTTCACTATTTAAAAATGTAAATGACTTTTTATTTTGTCAGACCATATTCTGTGCCCTCTTAGCGAAGATTGCAAGTTCAATGCACCGATAAAATTGTACAAATATAAGAAAAGTTGACACAAAAAACCATCATGGCTGATCATTCATACAGCACACACTTAAAAAGCAAAACCTGTTTAAAAGGAATAATTCTATTAACATGCCCTTTTGCTTCCTTTCAGCATCGCTCATTCAGAGAAGAGCAGTTCCGTTTAGCTTACGGATATATATTTATAGCTGCATAGTAATTCTGCCAGTCTATGAATGTATATGTAAGTATTATAGAGGGCAGAACGGTGATCATTCATTACAGGTCAGTTGGCACTGCAGCAGCCTAACAGATGAGAGAGAATAGCACTCCTAACCTGACAGTTCACTGCAGTATCACAGAAAGAAATTACATAATTCAGCAGAAGGAAAATAATCATGCAGTGTCACGAGGGCAGAGCCAATCATAAAGCAAGATGCAATGCAGGGAGCTGTGAGCACGTGCAAGAGCAGACGCAACAACAATGTAAACACATTGGAAAATGTGCACTGAGAGAATTGAGACTGAGCATACCTTGTGGAGACTTCACCATATGCGCGAACCCTTGGGAAAGAAAACGAGAGTGATAGACAGAGAAAGAGAAAACTTGAGAACACCAATACCAATACTGTTCAGGTATTGTGACTACTCATGGTTTGCTGACAGACAAACCATGGCTATCACACTAAAGCTGAAGCTTTCTGCAATAAAAAAGCTTCTCAAACAGAAAAGAGATTGACAACATTTCTATCTCCCTAATTCCAGGATAAATGTGCTAACATTAATTAGGGCTGTCAATTATTTTACGATTTCATTTCAATATTGCGACAGCGTGTCTTTAAACTATCTTTATTTGGTGGCTTTATAGTAAATTACATAGTGATACAAACGGTTGGAGGAGCTCTCTTATCACTTATATCGCACTCTTATCAGCCAATCAGATTGGAGGACCAGAAAGAACTGTTGTGTGTATATATATATATATATATATATATATATATAATTGTATTATTAAGATTTAAAACAATTGTTTTCTATTTTAATATATTTTAAAATTTATTTTATTTCTGTAATGGTGAAGCTGAATTTTTAGCAGCCATTACTCCAGTCTTCAGTGTCACATGATCCTTCAGAGATCATTCTAATATGCTGATTTGGTGTATAAGTAACATTTCTTATTATCATCAATGTAAACAATAGTTGTGCTGTTTCATATTTTTGTAGAAACTGTGCTTTTTTTTGTATTTTTTTATTAATTCTTTGATGAAATTAAAATGCTTTATAAAATGCTTAATTAAAATGCTTTACTGTCACTTTTGATCAATTTAACACATCCATGCTGAATGAATGTATTTAAAGAAAAGACATACAATTTTAATAATTTTATTGGGCTTATGTGATATGATTATTTGTTTTTAAGTTGATTAGTTAATTAGTATATAATGTAAAAAAAAAATAATAATAGATGATTGCTTGTAAGATTGACAGCCCTAATAGTAATACATTATTGTAATATAGACAGAATGTTTCACTTTCACACATACAGCCTTAAATGTATAAATGTACGCTTATATTCCAGTATTTTCCAAGCTTTGAGGGTTTTTCTGACTTTGTCAATCACAAATTTCTGAATGAGCTAATGCAATTACTCTATGGCATTTATTTCTATCATGTCATGGGAGTCGAAAATGTCATGTGTATCTTAATCAATTTTTTAGTAAAGGTAGGGGTATTAATGATTATTAAATGATTACTTTATTTTTTATTTTTATATACATGTATATTCTGATGGATTTCTAGAGTGCAAGATGTAGCTTGTTCTGCACATTGTCACCTCTACAACACCAGAGCCTTGGCTTGTAAAAATGGAATGAGCTCAACTTAATGAGGTGTGGGAGCATTTCACTACGAACAAGGATTGTGTTCACTGCCAGCACTGCGATAGTGTGCTAAAATACAGCATGACAACAAGCACTATGATCATCTGTCAGGAGAATTCTAAGCTAGGAGAAAATGACCAGTGTAATCTTATGTTGACACCCACAAGAAAGTTTTAATTTATAGTAAATTGACGATCATAGTAAAAAATTATGTTGATAAAAAAAGTATGATCCAAACAATAAAATTAAAATGTAGAAATTTAGTTTGACACGTTTGAATTAACCATATGCTTATTTGGACTGTGATTAAAAAATGGGATATGTGCACAAGGTGTTTGGAGTCCTGTTTTATGCAATTATACGACTTCATGTGTGAAAGTGACTATTAAGTGAATAGAACATTATTTTAATTGTCTGTATCTGAACTTTATTTGAGTTTATAGAGCATGTGATGAGTTTCCACAGCCTAAGACTTACCAGGGGTTTTGTTGACAGCTTTTGAGAAGATGGCATTAAGGAGAAGGAAGACAGAAAGTTCAACTGTTAGACACACTTTTGACTTTGCATGGAGGCTGTCATGCAAAAGTTTTATTTTCAGCTAAAAAAACAATGGTTTGTCATGCAAGGGATCAGGACTGTCCCTGTGCATGCCTGTTAAAAAATAAATAAATAAATAAATTAAATCCTGTGGGGAAAAAAGGTCTATAAAATCTGTTCCATTTTCTGAGAGAAACAGATTGACATTTTTACTTCAAATCACTCCATCACTTCGAGAATATTGCTGTAGCGTCCGGAATGCCACAGCGTTCCTCACATACTCTGAATGAGGCCATAAATCCAAGCAGGTTACTAAACCAGCTGTCCAATATGGACCATGTGGATTTACGAGGTTGTGAGGTTTGTGGATTTCTGGACACACCGTGGACACAGAGAATTACTCTCACTGAAGACTCATGTGTATAGCTATCCAATTTGAATCATCCACAGCTGGTTTTGCTTCTGAATAAACCTGTTTAAATGAATGCACACTGATTGCAAGAGAACAGCACAGTTCAACCACATACTGTAAAGCCTTAAACCAGGCCTTTCAGATTGTAAAGCTTACATGAATCATCTGAAAAATCTCTCTATAAAATTAAATTAGACTAACCAATTTAAATCAAAGAAAACAATTCAATCTCAAGGCTAATCTCAAGGAGCCTGGCATATCTAAAGAGCAGCAGATAAAAGCAAAGCATGCTGATAGACAGAGAAACTTTAGACTAAGGTCATGATTATCTATATACATGTGGGATTTTTTTCTTCTTTCAGAATTGTATGATGCATTTATGAATTTTGTAAACACAGAGACTTTGAATAAGTTATTTTCTGCGAATAAAACCACAACCTACTAAATTACTTTTTTATATTTTATGCATTTGCAGATTTTTGTTAAACTTTATCCAAAATGCATTGCATTTAATGCATAATTTTTTTTATATGAGTTCTCTGGTAACATTGAATGGGAATTGAACTTATGAATTTGGTGTTATGAGCACCATGTGCTACCAGCTGAGCTAAATGTTGTATATCATATAGGCAAGTTAGCATAAACTAATTTTAACTAACATGTCTGTTCCTACTTCAGAGGCAGTTTATCATAAGGGCTAAATAATCGGCCATTGTTGAGCTTGTCACATTAAGCAATCAAAGAAACAGACAGAAATCTTTTATTATTCCCAACATTTGCCATCTCAAAAGTCAAATCCAGGCCTCTTTCCTAACTGGCTGGTAATTTATCACCTGGATTTTCTGAAGGCTAAGCAAAATCAGACATCTGAGAGTTAGAGTCTCTTTTTTGTCTCTTTCCTGTCGTCCTTTCAGGGTTGGAACCAGAAGATGATCAGTTTATTTATTCAATAATAGCTGGTCTGCCTGGCTTATTACATTTGCAAAAGGCTTTTAGGGCACACTTGTCAGGCTTTTAGGATGCACTGGGTTTCTTAGCTTACAGCACTTTTGGTAAATTCGATTGACAGAGACAGTCTGATGTTTCATGTCTATGTTTAATTGTAAAGATGAATCGACCCGCACTGCTGGTCATCAGAATATGCTGTGTTCAGGATTCAGGGTGTTGGTGTCCCCATGAACCAAACTTAAGACAACACAAGACTTCCTTGCTCACTCAGCTTTGCCAGAAAGATAATGCTGATCAACCAGCATTTTGTGCTGGTGAACAACATGCCTATACTTGTTCTTTAGCTAGAGCAGCACCAAACAAGAACTGACCCGACTGGACCAGTATGGAGCACAACTTTCAGGCTCAGGTTTAATTAAAAATCTGAATATATTTCTCTTTTCTAAGAAACTTTCTTAGAGATTCCTTAGACTTAATGCTAACATATAAACCTTTCAAAACCAATGGTTAAAATAGTTAACCAATGGTATGCTTCTGTAGAAAGCAGCTTGATTTCAGCTATAAAGAGCTAAATAATACACTACCCATAATCCTGAAGAGAGATTCACAAGTCACTATTATGGATAGATAAAGCACACCAAACAATTTCCATACACTTGTAAAGTCAGCATGAAATCAAAATGTATCAATGATTCATCCCTGAATATGTTTTGTTTTAGTTATTTATTTTTTACCTTGTAATTCTTTGTAACATCAAGCAGGTTATAACATCAACTTGATCTTCTTGAACTATCTCTGGTGACGTATGGTGGATTCTTAAATCTAAAGGAACCTATGACTTCCCTCCTTTTAAGTGGTGTAGTACTCGAGTCCAAACAAGACAATATTTTCATGGTCCTGGTCTTGCCATGGAGCATTTAGACTATGCCTTGACTTGGACTCTTTACTCTAACACTGCGGGCACATTTTGTGGTATGTGCCAACTTGTGCATATGATCCGTTCTGTTCTATTATGTCTCTGGATTAGAGCACTATATGTGTGCTGCAGAGGTTCGTGTGACACTCATACAAAACCAGGCTTGTTCACCCCACAGAAAAGCATATTTATACTGTCTGAATTGTTTAACCCTCCTCAGTTCTCTGTCTCAACACACATTTTTCTGGTCTCGGGTTTGACATGCACTGGACTCTTAAATAAGCTGATCTCGACTATACTGCCTCCTTTGTCAACAAAATGGCTGCCTGTAAAAACAATACCCATGCCTCCACTGTTAAATATAAACACAGAAGAGAGAGCAGAAGAGGATTTCCAGACAGTGTCACTTTGACTGGTTACTTGAAGCGTTGGGAGAGAGAGAGAGAGAGAGAGAGAGAGAGAGAGAGAGAGAGAGAGAGAGAGTATATCTCTCTCGCTCGTACATCCATATC